GAGCATCAAATCTTCTTGGAAAAAGTGAATTCATGGTCTTGCCTAAAATAAGATATATAAGATGGGCCATTTATTCAGTAGCCTCCAGATGAAAGCATATAGTATATCATTGCATTTCTTCCCTGTGTGAAAACTAGAGATGAAATATGAAAATTCCATATCATGAATACAATGTCCAGCATTATCTCGGCTATCAGTATTATTACAGTATTGTTAGAGTGCGCCAATACTCAGGCCAGCCGTTAGGAGGGCAGGGGCCCCTCATCCACACCCATCGGGGCAAAATGTTATTCTTCCTGAAAATATATCTTACTGTATAATGATGAAAACTCTGTCTGTCTGTGGGTGTGGGTGTGTGTGTGTCTGTTCCATGTTTTTGTCCTTGCTGACTTGGTCAATCCATGTGAAATTTGGCACAGTGGTAGAGGGTCATAGGAGGATAGCCTGGAAATCCAGACCCAAATCTAGAAAGATTTAGGGTCTGGCTATCAGTAATGCAAATGGCCCAACTCGAGGGGCGGCACCAAGCATGCATTTGAAAATATCACTGCACGCAATTGGATAACACTACGACCAATCAGAACAATACACGGGGTGACGTATCCAGAGCGCTACCAGTGGAGCTAACTGGTAGATTAGACTCTTGCCGTATCGGGTCGGCAAAACAGCAAAAACGTCCTTCTTGCAAAGGAAAGATTCGAGCGCCGTCTTCTGTTCCTCTTTTAGAGAAAAAGCCAAGTCTAACTCGTTCATTGTAGCGGCCAAAGCCGTTTAAAACAACTGGTGTTCATCTGTAGCCATCTTGCAATGTTTACTGACTGATTCCGGACTTCGTCATCGCAGCGCTGTCGTCATCTGTTTAGCTCACCTCTGGCCTGCCTCCGTCAGAAACACCGATGTGATTGGTGCAGCTCGGCTCCAAGGGCATGGGTAATGAGCATCATTACTGATTGCCAGAGTGACTAGCTGAGCAAATTCAAATTGTGCTCTCACGAGAACTCTGGATTTCCAGGGCCATGGGAGGATGCGAATGAAGCAATATTACATCAGTTGGCCAAAGGGGGTGCTATAGCAACCGTTTGAAATTGCAAACTTTGAATGGGCATATCTCATGCCCCGTATGTCGTAGAGACATGAAACTTTGCACAGAGATGCCTCTCCTCATGAGGAACAAATTTGCCTCAAGAACCCATAACTTCCGGTTATATATTGCACGGTGAACATAATCTAGGGACCAATATCTAAAGTTCCCTCTTGGCAAAAGTTGGAAAACTTACTAAAACTGAGCTTCTTCAATGACTTCAACTGTCTGCCTTTCAACGTGCTACCTCAACTACTAATGCACAGTTTTAGCCCACTAATTATCCCACTATTGGCAATGGTACTACTGTTCTTTCAATAAAGCAATCGTACTATCAAATTCACAAAAACTCTGTCTGAATACATTGCTCTTCTTAATGGGTTCAGTTGACTATTTAATCTGCAGTTTCCTATGACCTGTATCCCAAACACACACCATGTGAAACTGTATGAGGGCAACTGTGCACTCAATGGGTATGGACTAGTTCCAATTATTGATACTTTCCACATGTATTTTGTGTCTATTCTGTGACAACACGTCACTAAGCTTGTCCAATCATATTCTTACCACCTCAGAAACCTCGCTAAGATAAGATCCATTTGAACTATTAGAGATACAGAAACTGTTGTACATGCTTTTATCTCTTCACATCTTTATTATTGCAACAGCCTTTATTCCTGTACTAATCAAAAACCTTCCAACGACTTCAGATTGAGCAGAACTCAGCCGCAAGAAGCACGACCACATCACATCAGTTTAAGCCTCTTTATAGGCTCCGTGTTTGCTTTAGGTTTGACTTTAAAATCTTATTGATTACTTTTAAGGCTCTTCGTGGCCTGGCTCCAGATTACATTTCTTGTTCCAGAGTCCAGGCTGAAGACCAAAGGGCCCTGAGGCTCTGGAACAACCTGCCCGTGCATACAAGGCTGTCTGAGGCACTGGCTTCATTTAAGTCTCTCCTAAAAACAAAATTCTTATTAGAAACATCCTGATTTTATCTTAGCTGTCTGTCTGTTTTATTGCTATCTTATTGATCCCATTTATTATCTTGATTTTAGTTTTGGCCTTCCTTATTTTATCTTTTACTTAGGTCATTATTAAGACCGTATTTTCTTATTTTGAAAAGCAGAGGAAATCACATGAGTCTTGGGATGAAAAAATGTCCTCCACTGAATGATTCCAGAAAAGTAAAATCAAACGTTGATTGAAGAAATTACTGTAAGGCATTAAATTAAATCATAAAATCTAATCATGAGTGAGCATATCATTTTTTTCTTAATTTATTCATTTAATCTTGAGGGCTACTTAAGTCAAATACTGGACAAAGTGTGTGCAGAACTAAAATGGTGTAAAGCTTAAATGGCTTTTAACTCTTAGTTTTACAGTCAGACAGTACAGGGACCCCAGTATGCAGAAATATTTGAATACACTATTTTGGAAAATATTCCTATTTTCCTCACCAAAATTTATGGAAGTCATCTGGAGAGGGATCCCAAGACTGCATTGTAGGTGGGTGATAAGTAGTGTCGTAAGCCATCCCCTCTTGTGACCTTAACAACTCTGAAACTAAGAGCTCACATGTGACCCCTATGACTCTGCAAGGGTCCCCACCCACACAGGGTTTAAAGCTTCTTGGATGAGAGGGGAAACGTCTTCAAGAAACCCAAGCAAGTCCAGTTGCCTACGATATTAGCACTTAAGATTACCATGACCTGGATGACTGAGAATCTTCACGACACGACACGACAGTCATTTAAGTTTTGAGCAGCACGTCACAAAGCTCGTGCTATCATGTTTTTATCGTCGTCCATTTGAACTTTTAAAGACACACAGACAATTTTACAGGCCTTCTTCTCTTCACACCTGGATCACTCGAACAGCCTCTTTTTTTGCCTGAATCAAAAATCTATAAATCTACTCCAGACAGTACAGAATTCAGCTGCCTTGCTTTTAACCAGAACCAAGAGACATGATCACATCACTCCAGTTTTAACCTCTTTACACTGGCTCCCAGTATGTTTTAGAATAGATTTTACTGATTTATTTAAGGCTCTTCATGGTCTCTCTTCCAGCTATGTCTCTGACCTTGTAGTGCCGTACACGCCAGGACGTACTTTGAGGTCCTTGGGCAGAGGTCTTTTGTCTGTCCCAGAGGCATGGCTGAAAACTAAAGGGGACAGAGTGTTTCCTGTCAGGGCCTCAAGGCTCTGGAACAGACTGCCCGAGGACATCGGGTCTCTTTTAAGTCCCTTCTTAAAACATACTTTATTGTAGAGCCCTTCCTGGTTTTACTTGAGTTTTTAAGGTCATTTAATCTGTCTTTTATTTCTTCAGTTTTTATATATCAAAGTGTTTTTTTCAATTCATGGTTGTTGTTGTTTTCATGTCTTGTCTGTTTTAATTATTGATGTGTAAAGCACTTTGTGACTCTAGTTTGAAAAGCGCTTATTACTATTATTAAATCAAATGTGCCTTAACATTATAAAGCCTGTCTTTGTAATGCTTGCTCGAGTGTCTGTGTCACTGTAGCCGAGGACGAGGGACCGGTAGCATCACTGTGCACGCCAACTCTGTAAACAAAGAGCTAACAAAACAAACCCACGTTGCATGCTGTGCCAGCGTCTGGGAGACTGTTGCAAACTTTGATCGATGCTGGACAGTATTTAATGTGAGTTTTTCAAAGAGTGGTAATCAGACAGTTTTAATGATAATTCAGATTTGAAACAGTAATACTAACTGTCTGTAATTTACCACAGATTATCATGAAACCTGTGACCATTTCAACCTTAATGAGAACACAGTGGGTAGATTATGTAGCTCAGGATGACAATTTGACATCTGTGCTGTTTAAAGTCACAGAATACATTTGGGATAAAAAAAACCCTCTCCTCCTTTTTCGGAGTATCTTTTATTATTGCCACAGTCTCTGCGGGGAAAGCATATGAATATACCACTTAGTTATTATGTAGTATGGAATGATTCAAATCCTTTTCAATCTCTACAGTCTTACTGTGGTGGAATTACATTATTTTTCCTGCATAAGAATGAGAAGAGTGCATTATCTACATCCAGTCCCTTTATAATTGGCTTTGCTAAGCCTACACAAGACAGGCATCCGTTTTTCTGATAATTATACTACAATACAACAAATACATTACTGCATACAGAATGTGTATGAGTCATGTTTGAGAGTAACGTGCTGTCTCATCCTTCGCCAAGGCTTCTGTGGCAAACTGATTTAATTTTATAGTAGACTTACACAGTGTAGCATCTGTAAAGCTGCTGCAGTGACTGGAGTCTTAAGTCTCTACAGGGCCCCTCTGAAAGCTAAACAGCAGACAGATGTTTTGAATGCTTCTGCTGCAGTACACAGTTTATTATGGATGTATTTTTCTGCTGCGGTCTTGAAAATAACAGTATGTTATGAATTTATATTGTTGAGATGTTCTTAACAATTTGAAGCTTTCAAGCTCTCAAGCTTTTACCATACAGATCAGGTATTTACATTAAACAGCACTCACCCTTTTAGAATAAAAGAAATTTCTCACGCACTAAAAGCTGCTCCCAAAGTGTATGGATTTGTTACCAACAATACCTGCCATAGTAGGCACTCTAGATTAATGGAGAGGAGTCTGCACAAAATGTCACCTAAGTATTAGTGCTAATAAATCCATACACCTTGGGAGCAGCTTTCAGTGGATTGAACTTTTATTGGAGATCCAAAAGAGGGAAAAAAGAGGCTTTAAATGCATGACCTGTCTTCACAGTGTCTTGGATTGAATGATCATTGGCCACATGGGCTGCCCTGGCTCTCATTAATGTGGACAAAACAGCAGTTACCAGTGTGAATGATTATTTTGTACTTGTTTTTTCTCTTACCCTCACAACCCATTGCTCTTTTCCCTTCCCTCCCTCACAGCTGCCATCCTTGATGACCCTATGGAGTGCAGCAGAGGAGAGCGTTTGGCCATCACGCTGGCCAAAGACAGCATCAACAGGAGCAGTAACCGTTCCACCACTGGCAAGCTGGAGGTGGACATCTTTGAACTGCTACGAGACAGTGAATATGAGATGGGGGAGACAAGTAAGTAACACAGGGAAGAAGTGCCAGTAAATTGGTGTGGAAAAGACAGTGTTGATGTGTGCATTTGTTCATGTGGGTCTGTTGGTCGATATATGTGTACGTGTCAAGTGAGTCAGAGGAGGAAAAGATGGAAAAAGTGTCTCTCTTTTTGGAATCAGCAAGCCTGTCATTTCAATTCACCCTACTGTCTTCTTTTCACTCCATCCCTCACACTCTTCCCCAAAGTACACAGAGATAAGTCTGCCTGGTTTAACAATATTTTGGTCAAACAGAGGCAAACAAATTATTGAAAATAGATGACAGACTGGCGTGGCGCAGGAACGCAAAATGAGCTGTCATATTTTGATAGCTGCACAGCGTCAAATGCTGTGCTTATATTTCTTTACTGGGTTGTATTTTGTTCTCCTATATATTGGCTAATTTTCACTCTGCTTTGGCAGGGCGGATCGAAACAAGTGTAATAATTTAATCTATGTCAAAATAGTAATGACCTCCAACAGAAAGGCGTATAGACTTTTTTAAATGAGCCATTAAAGAAAGACTTCACCCCTCAAATGAGCATTTCTATATCAATGAATCACCCTGTGCTATGCTGAAAATCCAGAATCTGAAAAATACTCTTGATGAGTCCAAGTCATAGAGTTCCGCTTTTAGCAACAGAAAACTATATCAAAACATCTGTTGACTCTCACACAATTCATGCAGCATAATCCAAGTCTGTCATATGCTCAGTACTTCCCAAACAGACAGCCCCTTCCGACAGGGAACTGAACTACAAGTGAAACTTAAATCTATGCTCTCTTCCAAGCCAGACTCCATGGACAAAAACAGTAATTATATCTTACTAAACACAGGAGCAGCTGGTCTACCATTGTCTTGTTTGGTAGTTTGTTTCTATTATTGTGTCACTTAAGTGAATCCAAAGTAATCCTTTAAAACACCAAAGTCACACAATAACACACATGGACTTACTGAATAAGGCAGCGGTAGACCATCAGCTCCCATGTTCAGAGAGGTAAAATTGCTGTTTTTGTCAGTGGAGTCTGGCTTTGAAGAGAGTGTAAACTAAGGCCATGTCCACACAGAGACGAGATTACGTGTACCCTCAAAGGTTTTTTATCATATAGACCTTTCGTAAACATGGAACCAACATTTTAGGAGCCCAAATACGCCAACTTTTGAAACCGGGTCCCAGAGTGAAAAAAATCTGAAGACGCCACCTTTGCGTTTCTGTATTTACAACACAGTACGCCTCTTTTCTGAAACGATGACGCCATAACCCCACCTCTCCCTTAACCCGTATGTGCTAGTCAACATTCTCCTGCAGTTTTGTAGTTTTGTAATCAAGTGTGACCCTAAGTAGCAGCTTTACCTTGTCGTCAGTCCATACAAAGTGGGCTCCTCTGGCATTAGTATTTTCCGCCATGCAAGACACTTGCAAGATAAATGTGACATTTTCTAATGTCACAATGGAGGGAAAACTACGCAGGCTGATTTTAGCGCTGCTCATCGTGGACTATATTGATGCCATTGTTCATTTTAGTCAAACCATACAGTTTGAAAACGAGGCGCGGCTCCAACTAGAAAACAATGTTTTGATGCATTGGATGTGCTAAATGTGCATATTAAGGCAGTACAGGAGGAGGTGCACATTAATAATCCTCCAGGACTGTAACATGCTCATGTTTAACCCAAACAATGTGTCATGTGACTGCAGTTGGTTCAGATAGAGGTCGGAACACATTCTCACCACAAACGAACAGCACCAGAGTTCATTTGTAACCTGACTGAGTCCACCTCTTCAAGAAGGTCTCGGTCTGGTTGTTGCTGTGGTCACACCTGCCCAAAAGAACCACACTTAGTGGGCAAACGAACTTGAGCTCAATTGAACCGAACCAAACAGGGCAGGTGTGAAAGCACTCTAAGTTTTACTTTTAGTCAGTTGCCTGTTGGAAAACGCTGTCTGTTTGGGAAGTACTGAGCATATGACTGGATAAATGAGACTTGGATTATATTGCACAAGTTGTGTGAGAGTTTGCGAACAGATTTTTTAAAATAGCTCTGCTCTTGTTAAATGTGGCTCCCTATGACTTCAGTTCATCAAGAATTTTCTCTGTTTTGGGATGCTTCATTTACCGGAGGCATGCGAGAACTGAAAGATAACAGAAGTTTTCTTCATAATTCAACATATATCAGCATGAGTAACTGATATACAAATGGTCATTTGGGGGTGAAGTATTCCTTTAAGAGATTCTCTCACAGATGTGACAAATGCATCACGGAGGGTGACTCAATAAGCATAAGCTAGAGTACCGATTTGTCATCAGCTGTATCAGTGCTTCCTCCTCACAGCTACCCAGAGCATCAGTGTACAGTGTGGTGACTTGTTGTCGCACACATCAGTGTTTTTTGGTTAGATTTTTTTAATTTTTAATGAAAGCTATCCAAAATCAATACAGCACAGTGTGTGTCTGCAGAAAACAACCAATATAAACAGCTATGACAACAAGTGTGCGGATTGATTTTCAATACAACACATTCCCACTTACACAAACCCAAGAGCTTCAGTAGTGCCGCTTAATCCATGGAAACACCGCTTCACTTACCACAACAACAAGAAACTGTATTACTTTCTCTGCCTGGTTTACTACAAACCCCTCCTAAATGTGGTTTCTCCTGTGTGTTTTTAAATGTGTGTGTGCGCGTGCATGTTTCTTCCTCTGCGTGTGTGTGTAAAGCAGCTTGTGTTGGCGTGTGCACGCTGGATTGTGTGTATGTTGTGCAAATGTTTTGTGTGTGAATGTGTGTGTGTAATTAGAGGCAGGAATTGGATTAGGGACGGATCAGTGGCCGCAGTTAGATGGAAATATCACAAGGGCCGCTACCTGCCCAGAAAATTCCCACCCCCACCTCTCAAGCACCGACTCCTGCTTGTGCAGTGTACAGCTTCTAAATAGATGACTCCCTGGCTGCTTTTACAGGCAGGAAACTCAACGTGACAAGACTTCTTTAACTGTTACATATTGCATATAAAGCCACATAACACAGGGATGTTTGCTTTAGTGCTGCCGTGTGTGCACCTGGAGTCACTCAGAATGTTTTAACCCATGAAATCTTATACCATAAGATGTGAAAGGAACTTGGAAACACCACGACCTGCAGCTGGATATGTATAGCTGTTGTATCTCAGTTTGTGTGTGCACATCCATGTTCTGTGGCTGTCTTTTAGTATTTCTGGTTTTGCTGTATCTTTTTTTTTTTGTCTATTCATCTGTTCGTCCTCTTGTAACCAGCACATGTGTCAAGCATTTCCTAAGTCAATCTCATTACAGCCCTCTTATCATTCAAAGGTTCCAATTGCTTGTATTGATCAGTGAAAATCAATATCAAGCATAGAGAATGGACTTCATCTGACCTACTGACCCCCTGACCATAGTTTCCAGTACCATACTGGCAACTCACAGCGCTAATAGACACCTTGACACTGACATCAATATGTGGAGGGAGTGACGAATAAACTGCGGCGAGGAGGTTTTGACACAGACTTTTCATGCACATTCTCAGTCTCTCACACGTATACACACAATGCAAGCGACTGCAGAGATGGAGCAAATCAAAGTGTCACGGGGCCAGCAGCGCGTTGGCTGGCAGTCAAATCATTCAGCTTTATAATTTGGTGAAGCCATGCAGACAGGTGCGAACGTGTGTGTGTGTGCATGTACTGTAAATGTGTCCATGTATGTGTATGTGGGTGTTTGTGTAATGTGTCAGTGTGTTCATGTCTTACAGGCCCCATGGGTGACTAAGGGATTACTTATTAATCATTCGATTCACTGCCTCTGGATTCACAGCACAGGCTCAAAAAACGGTCCTGCCCCCTCCTCTTTCACACACTCAGCTGGTTAATGCTCTGCTTTTGCCCCAATAACTGACACCAAATTATCATCGCACACCCTCACTCTGTGCACACATGCTCACACATGAACAGTACATAGTGTCTGCACTCGTGTCTGCCTCACATCATTGACTGTGGCGGTTTAATTAGAAACCGGGGATTATAAACTCACAAGAAATGGCATTCTGTTTTCCAGTATGGGGAGATTAAGGCATATGGCCCGTGTACATCAGAGAAAAGTAAAATTCACATTCGCTGAAAGATATGTTTTCGTCCCTAAAGGTAAAGCCTTTAAATCAGTCCTTGTAAATGTAGAATGTGGAAAACAAGATGAGATGTGTGTGTCACTTTTGGGGATATTGTAGCATTCATGTGTAAATGTTCAAATACCAGATTTTATGTTTTAAGCCTCCAGATATTGCTGCCTGTCACTATTTCTGTCTCTCTGCCTCCCTCACTGTCTGTCACTCTGTTTATCTGTCTGTGTCTCTTCCCATTTCTATATCTTTCCGTCTCCTTATGCGAAAGTCAGTTATATGAATATCAGTTTTTTTTCTCGCAGGCTATTAAACTCTCATGGGCAGGGTCTATAGGATTTCTCAGTATGTGTATCATGTCTGGCATATTAAACATGGACAAATGCATTTGGCCTTGCGCTGGTTTCATTAACACATGTAGGTTCAGGTTCCCTCGAGACGGAAGAAGCGCTGGCTCAGGCTGCTATCTCTTTAGAGGTTGAGATAGTCAGCATGTGCGCATCTGGCTGAAGTGGGCCTTTTTTAAATGACTCAGATTCTTTAAGAAAGCCTTTACGTTACTTTCCTTGAAAGCACTGACTGACTTTTTCTCCCTTGCTGTCTCCGTTTCCTTCTCTTTCCTCATTTTCCCCTTCACCCGCTCTCTCTGTTTTCTCTCAGTGTGCCAGATCATGTCGAAAGGGGTGGTGGCAGTCCTCGGTCCCTCTGCCAGTCCAGCCTCCAACTCCATCATCAGCAATATCTGTGGAGAGAAGGAGGTGAGTTTATGCACCCAGCTGGCCTGCAGCCAAGGGGCCATGTTAGGCAGTACGTTCACAGTGCAACCAGAAATACAGAGTTTGGAACAATGATGCTCATTAGCGGCTGTGTGGTTTTTTTGTAGGAGATTGAGGGGGAATGAAATCCAACTTGTTAGTGAAAATGATGAAATACCTCAACAGAGTCATAACTCTCCATTCCAGTCCCACTCCAATCAAAGCACCGCTGGACATTTTATTTCCTCCATTCCCCCTCATTAGCTTGGAGCAGTTTGGTCCGCTGAGAATTGCCAGCCAGTGTTTTGAGTTTTTTTTAATAGAAACAAATACAAATAAAAAAAAGTACAAGTTTTGCTGTTCTGATGAGATCATGTGAGTTAACAACAGCCATCTTCTGCTGTCCTCTTTGCCCCATCTTGTAGATCATTTAACGGATGATAGTATATAGATGTTATTTGGAGAAAACCAGTCAACAGACATATTTTCTCATCTCAACAGTGAAGAAAAACATGTTTTCCCACAATCCAAATATGACTGACTGGATTTGGCTTCAGAGCCTGACTGCATGCAAACAGATCTCAGTTGGATGCTAATTGGCTTGTCTGAACTCTGACACAGTGTGTTTTACTGTCTGATGTCAAAAAACAGAGTGCCTTTGGATTATACAAAACCATACACTACATCAAAATCAATTATAACTCAGAAAAAGGTCGATCTGTGATGGTTTGACTGCCATGCTTTGGTATTTTTCCTTAATTTGATACACTTTGTTCTACACGATTTGTAAAAAAAAAATTGATTATATATAGATTATGAAAGTGAAGTAATCAATACTGATAGCATCGATATTATCTGTGTACTAAGTGCTGCAGATTTTAAAAAACTACATGTCAGCTTTCTTTCAGTTCATCAATCATTCAGTTTTCACTAGTGTGTTCTGGTATGCTCCCAGCCATAATTGGATTGGGTCTGCAGAGAAGCCGCCTTCTTAACTGCATGAATTTGTTCAGCATGACGATTAGAAGACATCCCATTACCATCCCAGTCTCTATAATGTCCTCTGGTACAGTACAGCCCATCTTTGTAATGAGACATCAGTCTGTTGTAGTGGTAGACAGATCAGGACTCCCTGCTGGGAAGAGTCTCTGGTGGCACTGACTTGCAGGGCTGACTGCTTTGAAACACTGACTGTGATAATACCACTGTATGAATATTTAAGACCCCATAAAGTGAAAAACTGCATTTCTGAGTTGTTAAGTGATACATACTGTATCTTGATAAAATACTCTGAGGAGTTCATACTGGCCCTGAAGATTCAGTCTCCCAACACTGGCTCAGATTTTATCTTTACTTACCTTTTTTATTGCCGAAGTGTGAATGGGAAGGTCAACCATTTGGATGACCAGAGTACATCTTGCTGGAAAGATGGTCCTTTTATTAAAGAGACACAAATACATTTGCAATTGGAGCTATATCACCAGAGACAGCAGAGAAAAGGGGCTGCTACATTCACTTTTGCTCAAGAGATAGAGAGCCTACAACTACCAGAATGCACTGCACTGCACAGATAAACACTCTTGCTGGTGGGCAACATAATGTGAGCCTGTCTGTTTTGACACAGGAAACAATATGGTAGCCAGCTGGCAACAAATGATCTCATCATGGAGACATTTCAATCAGGTGGGGCTGGTGACAGTACAGAATCTGCCCTTCTTAAAGTGTCAAATGACCTACTGCTTTCTTAAGTTAGTGGTAAATGTGCCATGTTAATCCTGTTAGACCTCAGTGCGGCCTTTGACACTGTATTTTATTAAACCATCTTAAAGAACTAGCTGGCATCCAGAGCACTGCCCTCAAGTGGTTTGCCTCCGATTTATCTGTCAAGATTGGTGGCCCTCCTCTTCTGCTTGCATCACTTGCGGTGTACCTCAAGGTTCTATCTTAGGGCCCATTTTATTTGCACTATACGTGCTTCCATTAGGCTCCATTTTCCACCAGCAAAATGTCTCATTTCACTGTTATGCCGACGACACACAAATTTAGGCTACCTTCTATTAAACCAAGGGAATTCCAGCTCCATCACATTCATCCTTAACTGCCTTCAGGATATGAAATCCTGGCAAAACCTGCCTTAAGTTAAATGATAACAAGGATGAAGTTATTGTTTTGGTGTCCCCCCCCCCCCCCCCCCCCCCCCCCCCCCCAGCACCACAGACAGCACAGTCAGCCACATAGGACCACTCACATCATACATTCATACTCATGCCAGGAATCTTGGTGTCTCAAATTTTACAAACAAATCAACCCTGTGGTGAAAGGCTGTTATTTTCAACTACAGAACATTGCAAAACTCATGTCCATCATCTCTCACAGTGACATGAACACTGTACCCACTGCATTAATCTCTTCAAAGTTTGACCATTACAACTCTCTGTACCTGGGTGTCTGCAATGTCTTTTAACTGTCTTGCAATTGAAGCTAATGGGTAAGGAAGATAATGCCTTTATGGAAGCTGCTCCAAAGGAATCTGGACTAGCCTTCCACTCTCAATCCAATGCTTCCCCTCTGTTGACACTTTTAAGACAAATCTTAAAATGTCCATGTTTTCAATGGCCTTTGGTTGTTTGTAGTGGTTTTGATATTTTAGTATTTTATAATCTTTTTTACGTATGTAATTGTTCTTACTGGTGTTATTCTGTTTTATATATGTGTACATTTTATATGACTATATATTTATGTGTCATTCTTTTATTTTGTACAGCATTTTGGTCAACTGCGGTTGTTTTTAAATGTGCTATATAAGTAAACTTGATTTGATTTGATTTGATTTGTAGGGAAGCAAAAATATGCTTCTGAAAAAAATGTAGGTGAGAAAAATGTTTGGTCTAAGTTTTCAGCATCTGGTTCGACAATACAGTGTGACCACACATAACTTGACGGCTTCGTAGAAACATTTGCACCAACCATCTGATTTGCCAGTTGGGCTTCTGTCTTCTTCTGCTCTGTATTTAAAATACTACATCTGTATCACTCATGGCAACCATCTCGCAACTGCACTACTTGGTTTTAGTTCAAAATATTGACTGCAGTTTTTTTCAGGGATACGGCAGTTGGCACAATTAGTTCTGTGCTGAAAGCTGCACTCCATTGTCAAGGACAACTATGCAGCTCAGTTCCTGTACTTATTCTTCTACTCTAATCCATGTTTTATTAAGCACTGCATTCAGACTATTTTGATAGTATTATTAAGTATTATTAAGATTTTAACAATAGCAGCTGTGTAACCTTCGGGTCATTTTTCTATAATTCCCTTCTTTCAGAATCTAGCTATGGATTGATGGGAATACATTAAAAAAATGAAGGTCAAAATTATGCACAGTATGCAGTAAGTTTTGCAACTAAGAAAATAACCTTTATTGAAAATATAATTATGTAAGTATGATTAGCAAAATGACCTTAATGTATCCAAAAATACATCTTATTATCCATAATGCAAAAAATTGGCTCCTGTGAGTGCAACATACTCATATATAACACATTACTGATTGAGGAAGCACAAGTTGATCTGAAAAAAAAAAAAAAAAAAAACTGTTCGCAAAATTGTGTTTATAAGAAAACCATATCTGCACTGACCTTCAAGTCTGTTGCACTTGTGACCATCCTCAGCTTTGTAACATCATTGCTCTTTCGTACATTGTGAAGTGATGTATTTCAGAGGAGCAGGACAGAAGGCAGCTGCTTGACAGTACTGAGCATATAATTCAGTCCATATGTAGGTCATCTTTGGCGGTTCTGTCAAAAGTGTATGAGATTGTAAAATGGTTTGAAGTGTTTCTCCTCTGACATGGTTCAGTTGAAAACGCATAGTTTGATGTACTATGACATGTTTCTCACCTCGCAGTAACATCAAGAAAAACTTGAGTTTAGAGTTCAAAAGGTAGCCAACGAGGATCGCTTGCTTCTCCTTTTACCACCAGTAAAAAAGAAGAGGAGGAGAACATTCTGAATGTGTGAGGCTTTGGGAGTGGAGAGATCATACTAAAGTGATGTTGGCAATGTAAATTCTGTCAGCCAAATGCACTCCAACATACGTTAATGCTTCTAAAGTTAGTTTAGTAGATCTGCAGCTTTTATATAAAAAGAGTTGGTGCTGTTGCCTCCAACATTTATAATCACATGTTATTGGATGTAATGTGTCCACTCGCAGTGCAGGATGAGTCATAAAGAATATTCAGTCAGTTTATAGGACGAGATGAGGGACTACACACAAATGCATTTTTGGACACATGACTGCCATAACAATGGACAGCTGATTAATACACCCAGGCAAAAACCTGTTTCCCCGGGAATATGTGATCCTCTTATCTCAGTCTGTGCTTTATAAAATGCATTGATAACTATTCTTAGGTTGGCAGGCAATTAATGGAATAATCAAGCCCAATAGTTCTCAGCTGTGGTCATCAGGACCCTGCTGGTTTTCATTCTCGTCATCAAATCAAAGACTATTGAATACCAAGAATGCACGGTGGGAAAACCAGCAGTCGTAGCAGTTGGGTTCCTGATGATCAGGATTAAAAACAGACAGTCTTAACTCAGTAGTCCTCACTTGGATGCTATTTAGAGCCAAGAGTGTGCAGATTTTTTATTCCAACCAAACACCACACCAGCTGATTTTACTGATTAGGTCCCCCGTCTTAGGCTTGAGGTGTGCAAATCAGTGAAGTCAGCTGCTCTTCTGTGTTTGTGTGCGTGTGAGTATGTGTGCGTGTTCAGAGAAGGTCACATTGCTCTTGTCATGATCACTCTGAAGGGGATGACTGGGTAATGGTCCTTGTCAACAGCAAGGCTTTATATAATTGGTGGGTTGTTGTAACTCACCATACAGCACTATCACGACACATTACCAGAAATAACTTGGGTATTATTGAAATATAGGAGATTCTGTAATATGGTACGTAAACACAGTTAAGATAAAACACAATTATCTGTGAAAACCGTGA